TTACACCTTCATGTGTGACATACTCATCATTATATCCAATAGTGACCATCGCATGTCCACCTTCCGGTTCAATAGTTCCATGATAATTGAATTCACCATCAGTCGAGTACATTGGCATGACGAAAAGCGAACACTTCTCACTCAAATATTGCATGTCTTGTGGGCAATTAACAACTTCGAAGAACTGTGTGTTACAGAATTTTTGATATTCTTCGGTGCATGGAATGTAATATCTCGAGTCGTGGATCAATGAACCAAACCCAACGGGGATTTTCTTTTTGAGCATCAATTCCTTTGTTTGTTCAATGTTATAAGTTGTCAACATCTCCGAAATATCAAAACTGATAGGGTTCGTCTTCAACGCTTCGTCCATCCCGTCACACACAAATTGCGTCTCTGTGGTTTCCGTGTAAGGGCAAACAGCGCTTGGAAGAATCTTATCATACAAAAACGGGAATGAATAGAACCAGTTGATTTCACCTCCTTCGGTTGATCCATACATCACATCATCGCCTGGAGTGTTACATACAGACGGATACTTTTGACAAGCTTGTTCCATTAAAATGGCGCTCGACTGAACGTTCAGCCGAACAAACTCGTTGTCTGCCAAAAACCCCTTTTGGCGGCCGTTTTCACGATATGAATGCTCCAACATGCCTATGATCCCAAACGCCCAACAAGTTCCTTTGTCCAATTGATAATATCTGTTTGTGGGGAAGGCGTATCCCCATTTGCTTGGGAGGGCCACCGCCAAGCTGACAAAAACGACGAGGTACTGAAATACCATCTCTGTATTTTTTTACAGTTCGCAGTTCCTTTGCTTTTCCAAAAAGCTCGAATTTTACTGAAGCTTTTTCTATGGTTTCAGTTTTATTCGATATCCTTCGGATAAGCCTCAGTATATGGGTTTTAAGTCTAGTTACTTATTAGTTAATATATTATACTGCGAATTGTTTTATTTTGAGAACAGAGAAAAGAGGTGGTAGTTGTTATAATAAATTAAATTATAGTTTTACTAGATAACAAATAAGAATGTAGAGTCAGTTATATCTTCACTACATCATCTTCATCTTTTTTGACCTTCTCTTCTTCCATTTTTTTCACATCCTTCTTCTTCAAAAGCTTCCTGACGCGCTTTTCAGCTGGTTTTTCTTCTGCTTTCTCAATTTTAACTTCAGTCTTAATTTCTTTCCCATCTTTACTTTTATTATCTTCGACAAGATTGTTGGATTTCTCTGTATTTGGTTCTTCTTCCATTTTAATAACTTCTGGCTTTGGGACAACATCTTTCTCCTCTGCTTTGGGTTCTTTCTCTTCAATACCACTTTTGTGTTCTTTTTCATTCTTAACACTTCCGCCCTCTTCATTCTGTTCATCTCCTTGTTCGTCATCAATAAAGTTTTCAACTTTTCTTCGCTTCGATCGGAGTTGTCTTCTTTCGGTTCCATTGTCTTCTTGGAATTCTTCACTGTCAACTGTTTTTCTCAGTCGGTCTCCTTTGTCGCGTTTGCTTTCTTTCTTCTTTTTCTCTCCTTCACTTTCCATCCGCGCTTGATTCTCTTCAAGTCTCTTTCGGATCTCTTCTTGTTCCTTTTGTGTCTTATTCAGAAGTGCTATTTTGTCGTTCTTCTTCTTTTCCTCCTCCTTTTCCTTCTCGTCCATCCTCTTCTTCTCTTCTTCCATTCTTTCCAATCGGCGTTTCTCCTCAAGTTCTTTCCTTTTGTCCACTTTCTCTTTCTCCTCTCGTACAGCCTTTTCTATGTTCGCCTTCCACTTCTCCTCAAACTTCGTTGTAAAGTCCACCAAATCGCTTTTCCCTTCCAAATACTTCAAACTCTTCTCAAAGATCGTCTCACTTTCCTTCTTCCCAAGCGCACTCGTGTTAATAATTCGGTCAAAATAGACCCAAGCGACGTACGCGTAGTTATAAGCTATGTCCGCAGTGTCTGAAACTTCATGCGCTCGCTCAAGGCTTTTCAACGCCTGTTCAAATTTCCCAGAGACAAATTGACACTCCGCAATCGAGTTCAAAACAGTTGGATCGTCTCCATATGTTTTGCAGATGTACGTGAATGTCGCCTCTGCTGTTGGGTAATTCCCAAGGTAGAATTGAAGGGTCCCAAGACTGAACGCAACTTTTTTGTTCGGTTGCTCTTCATTCGTCTTCGCAAGAATTTTGCAGATCAAGTCGATTGGTGGGACGTAGTTGTCTACTTTGATATCGACCAAACACATCGCAAGACCGTTCAGTGCTTGAATGTTCGTCACATCGTGTTTTAATATTTTCATATACAGTTCCACGGCCCTCTTCTTTGCGTTCTCGTTGTTCTTCCCAAATTTATAGTAAACGTTAGCCATTCCCAAAAATGCGTATAAATTCGATCGATTCTCTTGTATAACACTCTCAAACAGTTTCATCGCTTCCTCCAATTTCCATTTCTCCGTCTTCATGACACCAAGTAACACCTTCGCATCTTCACACTTCGGATAACTCTTGATCGCTTCAACCAATTCGTGTGACGCTAAATCATACCTCCCTAAGTCCCAGTAATGATAACTAATCCTAATATGACAATCAAAATACCACGGAGTGGTTACTAACACCTTTCTATACTCTTTCTCGGCTTCGTCCCACCTCCCAAGCGCTTCAATACATCGACTTTTATTGAACAAAGTGGTCGCGCTTGCTTTCCCAGTGCTTTCCGCTTTCTCAAACCATTTTAAAGCCGTCTCGTACTCTTTCATGAAGTAATAGCAGCACCCAATATTATTCAACGCTTCCTCATTTTTGTTTTCAATCTTCTCGTAATGCATTGATGCGTGTCGCGGCTCGCTTTCTTCAAGTAACATCGCAAGAGTGATCTCAACCTTTTCATCTGTCTTGATCAAAGACGCTTTCGACAAATTTGCGATCGCGTCGCTCTTTTTATTCAACTTGAGTTGACTGTACCCAAGAAGTTTCAATACGTCAAAGTCGTCACTAATCTTTTTCACAACTATCAGAAGGCGGTCTTCGACTTTCTTGTACTCCTTCTTTTTAAACTCGAGTTGTGCTATTCGAAATCTGATCTGTGGCATACTCTCGTCTTTGTCCATCTTCTCGGCTTCAAGATACTCCTTCATCGCGTCTTCAAACTTCTTCTCAAAGTGTTTGACTCTCCCAAGAGTGAAGTGTCCATAAGCTTTATCTGCGGTATTACCTAATTCGACTATGCGTGTGCAGAACTCCTCAGCTTTCTTGTAATTCTTCGAGAACATTGCGGCTTCAGAAAGCACATACAAGACATCCACATTATTCCTATCAACAGCAAGGGCTCGTTCCGCAAACAAAAGTGCTCGTTTGACGGCTTCTGGCGTACGTAAATTCCAATATATTCGACTCAACGATACCAACGCATCAAGACACGTCTTGTCGAGCACCAACGCACTTTCAAAACATTTGATCGACTGTTTGAATGCTCTTTGGAGATAAAATATTCGTGCAGCACCACACCGAATCGATGGGTTTGTGGGTTGTTGCGAAACAGCTTGTTTGTAGTACGACAATGCAGTTCTCTCGTTGCCAAGTTTTGTTTCGAGGAGTGCCAAGCCCACTATAGCTGGCGTACAGTTGGGGTCGATCTCTAAAGCCCTTTTAAACTCATTTCGAGGGTGTTTGTTCATGTAGAAGTTGGTGTAACCCGCAATACAATGCGCTATTGCCGTGTCTCTTATTGTTGCATTTGAAAGTTTGTTCTCCACCTTCTGCACGTCGTTTTGTGTCATCTCTGGCTTGACAAGAAGTGACGCAGATAACAGCATGAATTGTTTTAATATGCTCTGAGAAAGCGTTGATGGTGGGTTGGACAAAATTGTGTCTTCAATGAATCGTGTGGCCTCCGATCTTCTATTTTCTCTCACAAGTTCTTGTGCAACTTGGAGTGTCGAGATGGGGTCTTTTCTAAAATATGAAGCGAGTCTTTGGAGATTCACTGAAATGGGTCGAGTGATGGTGACAAATCTCGTTGGGTCGATATTAAGACGAATTGGGTCTGGGAAGAAAGTATCTTTTACTTCAGACATCTAATATTAATAGTTACTTTTTTATCATTTTTCATATAATTAAATTATTAATAAAAAATAGAACTCAGTGCTATTATACGTCACAACAAATCTCAGATATTTCCAAACTATTATTAATAATATTAAACTATACTCAATGAAAACTAAAGAACGCATACTATATTTATTAAATGATTATAGTTTTGGAGCAAATTAATAGTATTTAATAGAATAAAAAGTCATTGATACTAATTTTGGAGGTAAGTGAGTGAAGCATGGAAATACCTGGATTAGTCGACAATGGAAACTATTATACAACGGTTGTACCAACGAACAACAGTATTTTCGTCAATTGCAGTGATGGGTGTATATATGAATACACACACGATTTAACTTTGAAATATAGATATGAAGATGTGAATGCGTTGTGCTTTCAAAAAGAACAAATTAGTGATGAAACGTATGGTGTTGATAAAGAAGGCTCAGTCTTTCAAATTGATTCTCGTACAAATACTTTAAATTATCTATTTAAACCTAAAAACAGTATTATAGAAGAGAGTGGAATTGATGTGAAAAATAATTTTATTGGTGTAGCGTACAACGAAGTTCTTAAGATGATTGACAAAAGGAAAGGCGTTGTTATATACAAAATCGATGAAGCGCATAGTGACAATATCATTTCAGTCAATTTTCTTGATGAAGAGACTGTAGTTACTGGTTCACAAGATGGCTTGTGTTGCACTCTTAATTTCAAAAATCGGAATGAAGGTATTATTGACACTGTTAATATAGAACGTCCTATTTCGTATGTCGCGATTTTAAGTTCACACCACTATGCAATACAAAGTGATGACAATACCTTTGTGTTATACAATTACAACACTGTTTGTGTCTTACTATATTATATTATATTTAATATAATATAATAAATATATAATATAAATATAATAACATATAGAAAGAAACTGAAGTTCAAGTAGATGACTTTCGATTGTCTTTTATTCAAAGTACAGATTTATTAGTAGGGAGTAGTATGCTTCCCGTGTTGGAGTATAACAAGAAGATATTAGTTGGTGTTTCGACTTCCAATGGCGAAGTGATTTATGGTGGATATGAAGGGACTGTCACACACAAAACAGTGTTTCAGAAGCACACAAGCCAAGTACGGGATTGGTGTGTATTTAACGACCGAATGTACACGGTTGGAGAAGACTTAAACGTGTTTTCACTTTTTCTGAAAAGTTCAATTGATTGACTTTGTCAGCATTTCCAGTTTTTTGATAAAAGCCATTGAAAACTAAAGAAACTCAAAATTACAAATGGGTTTGTGTTTTGATGAAATCATTTATTTCATATGGGAGCATTTATTCACATCAAGGAAGTCTGATTTCATTCATTTCATCATTTTTCTCATCGCCAGTTCGGATGTTAATACTTGGTTTAGACTCTGCCGGGAAAACGACGATTCTCTATCGCATTTCAAGTGGGGTGACCATCATGACTGTACCAAGTTTGTTGAATTGATCAATTAACTATTATAATACTATCAATTAATTCTCAATTAATTCTAACGAAGAGCGGTTGGGTTTAACTTGGAGGAATTGGAATACGAAAAGATGAAATTTAAAGTCTGGGATTTGGGGGGACAAGAATCCCTCCGCCCATATTGGCGATGTTACTACTCGAACACCAACGCGATCATATTTGTCGTGGACTCGTGCGATAAAGAACGAATGGAACTCGCAGGCAAAGAACTTCATTTTATATCACAAGAAAAAGAACTCAAAAACTCCGTCATAGCCGTTTTTGCAAACAAACAAGACGATGTTGCGCATGCGATGCCTGTGGAAGAGATCGCAACAGTGTTGAAATTGACTGAAATGAAAGATGTGACTTGGTCGATATTTAAAACGAGTGGAATCACTGGGGAAGGCATAATGGAAGGAATGAGTTGGATTGCAAGTAAGTGCAAATGATTCTACAAAATAAGTAATAAATTAATTGATTTCACTCGTGTCGTTCTCACCATACAACTTTTTTTGAAGCGTCTCGTACTTTTCTAAGAACTCTGGAGATATCGCACGATTTAACCCAAACGATCGTTGAAGGTTTAATATCGTTGTGTGACAATATACCGCATCGGGGTGTAATTCAGTGTTGTAATGAATCGTTGCATGCGCAGTTTTATCCAATTTGGAGAACTCGCGAATTCGCTTTGATTCAACTACATTTGGTTTCATCGAATATATAAACGCACTGGAATCAAATAGCTTTTTTAAAATCAATTTGACATCGACTAGGCCATTGGTTTGACACTCATTAGCAATGGATACCATTGTTGAGAAATGTACTTATTGTTAATCCTTGATTTTTTATTATATAAATATATAACAAACGAAGGGTTACATTGATTGATAATAGTGGAATATTGTGTTGTGTATTATATAATGTATATAACGTGTACAATGCAGTGATTTGTGTTGGGATACTTTTTGTGTTTGTCATACAAATATCAATCACGACTTGGAACGCCATTTGAAGAGTGACTTTCGCGATGTCATGAGAAATTCCTTCGAATTGCAATACCAAAGGAAACCCCGAGTTGATCCAAATTTGTTTGAAATCAGCGAAATGGTACAATTCGTTTGGAAATTTTTTGAAAAAGGTTGTAAAGTCTTTATAAAGTGGGTCACAAACATAAGCAAAATAGTCTCTAGTGTATGATTCGATATATAATGTTTTCCTCTCTTGTATTTCTTTTTCTCTAATTGTCAAACCAGTTATTGTAATAATTAAAACGTCTTTGTTTTAAAAACAAACTCTTGACTTGATACTTCAATGTCGTTCAGTTGTTTGTCTATTAACCCTCCACCTCTCTTCATGTTGTGATTTATCAAAAAAATGTTTTTTAATTTGTTTTTTTTTGTGTTTTTTTCCTTACCAAAATAGTTGTTTTATAACCATAATTATTATTTCATTCATTTGTACTATTAATTGTGATATATTTACTATTACTAAATTGTATTATTAGTAATAATAAAAAGTGTTATACCAAATACAAATAACGCCGAATCACCAGCCAAAAAATTGCGAACAGCACCACAAACTAAAAATGTCTTCACTAGATCTTTAAAATCCTCAATGTCCATTGTCTTGCTCTTATCGCTTCTGTCGATAGTGTATTCCATCAACGACCAGTGCACTTCTGCCACTGTTGTTGATTTAACACTGCAAGAGGAGTTCACAACAACAGAAGACACAACAGTCACCCCCCTTTCTTCGGCCAGAGTAGGTACCCAAGTCCGAGAGATGCATGGGAAGTGGTATCGAGTTGAGACTGCTGGGTTAGGTAATAAAATAGAAATAGATACCTGTATCTTAGGAAACACGAATTATAACTCCAAGATCATGGTATTTTCGTCATGTAGCGATGGTGTAGGTACAAATTTAGTGACCATGAACGACGACTCTTTTGCGGGGTGTGGGTCTGCTGCGCGACTCTTGATGTCTGATATTAAAAAGAGGTCGTTTTATGTCTTTGTTACTGGGTCTGAAGTGTCCGACGTTGGTGTTTTTGGACTTATGATACGACTCCTCCCACCACCTGAAAATACACAATGTCCAAAAGCTATTGAAATCAAAGACTTTCCAAAGTATGTTGAAGCTGTAACTACAGGTATACCACCTAACTACCATGGCCTTTCTGGTGTGTTCTATCACTTCAGAGGGAATGGAAAGAGAATACATATCGGCACATGCCATCGAGCAACTAATGTCGATACTGTAGTCAATGTATTTGATGGATGTGAGTCGATGAATGTTATACCAACAGATCATACGGCGTGCTCTGATGGTAACATGGGGAGTAAAGTTCATGTTGACACTATTGTAGGAAAGGAATATTTCATTCACTTAGCTTCCTCACCAAAGAAGAGAGGGATGTTTATAGCTTATTTTGAATTGGAAAGCTTGTTTGTTCCTATGAACTGTAACAAAGCAAGTGCAATCACACAGCTCCCATATGCACACACAACTACATTAGACGGAGAAGTCCAGAGTATGAGCTGTGGAAATACACTTCAGAAAACGGGTGCGTGGTATTCTATCATGGGAGATGGGTATGACTATATAATGTACACATGTAATAGTATGAATGGACCACAAGATGGCACTGTTATTGAAGTATTTGAGAGTTGTGAGAGTAATTCGCGATGTGAAATGAATGACAATGGCTGTGGATTACATGGGAAAATTAGTAAACGACTTGAGACTGGAAAGAATTATTTCATTAAAGTCAGTTGTGCCAATCCACATAGTAAGTGCAGAGTCACTTTGAATGTCGATAAGTTAAATACACAAGGTGATATCAACACGTGTGTGTTTGGTAAAGCAGTGAATGTGGAGAGCTTTGACGATGTCTTCACTGACGCTTTTGATGTTTCCCGCGCCCGAAAAATAGAGACGAAGTGTGGAGGAAGTAATACACAACGGGGTGTCTGGTATAAAGTGCAGAACAAAATGAAATATGCATTCCCCCTCTTTGTTCAATCAAATGTCATTCTAGCAAGCTCAAACAAACACACTGCAGAGATTCAAATGTATCGGTCGTGTTCTTTGGAGTGCGAAGAGAGACAACAGAGTGTTCATCGAGTGACATTAAAGCCACAAGAGACGGTGATGATATTTATAACTGCACCACAAGATGAAGGTCAGATGAGTGTTTACATGCGAAGAGACTTCAATCAACAACACGACACTTGTAAAACTGCTATTGAATTCAACGCGCCATTCTCTCTTGTTGAATACAAAAGTAATTTGGGGATGAAAACAACACCCGTTTGTGCGGGAAATGTTGTTGGCCGTCACACGGGGATTTATTATTATTTCCAAAGCCCAGTGACTGACACTATGGTAGTCGAAACGTGTGGCTTAGAGACTCAATTTGATACTTATGTTGAAGTCTTCCAAGGGTGTGGAAGTGACGCAACATGTGTATTGTCAAATGATGATGCGCCCGAGTGCGGAAGTTCAGCGAGTTATGTCAAATTTGAAGCGCAACAAGGTGCAGAGTATTACATCTACATTTCTGAGGCAAGCAAAGCCACAGACACCGAAGGGACTTTTAGATTGAATGTCTACACATTAATTCCTCCAACGCACTCGACGTGTCAACGTGCTGAAAATTTGACACCGGGACTGACACAGTACGCGCTAACCAAATACGCGTTTGACTCAGTGAGTAATTGCAATTTGAACGAGAGAAGAGATATATCAAGTCTGACATATGGGTCTATTTCTAAGAAACAGAAATCAAAGCAACATCTGAAGGGGGTGTGGTACAAGTACACTGCCACTGTCTTGGGGAAGTTACATGTGAACACTTGTAACGCAGCAACATCCGTCAGGACTCGAATGGGTATTTATAAGTCATGTGGAGTACAGAACGACATCTCATATCCCGACCAATGTGTGATTGAAAACACCGTGTCGTATCAATCGTGCTCGACAAGAGGCACTTATGTTTCTGTCAACTTAAATGCTGGAGAAACAGTGTTTGTCTTTGTTGGAGGAGAGACGGACAGAGACGTTGGATTTGTTGCTGTTGATTCTGACTTCCAGACGAGTGCGCCGGAGTTCAAAAGAATAGTGTACACCCCAAGAGTAGGACCAAGACGATTGAAAGAAAGAAGAACGTTGTGGTTCTTGTGGGCGTTCTGGCTCTTCTTCTACTCTGCGATGTGCCTTATAGTCTTTGGTGTGTTAAAGTATTTTGGAAAGAAAGATGACTTCCTTGGGTATCACGAGTTATAAGAATTTTTCATTTCTTGTTGGGTTGCTATAATATAGAATAATTAATATTATAAATTATAGTTTTATCATTCTTATAAAATTATTCATTGATTGGAAACGAAGAAGAAATAGAAACGAATTAATGTGTAGGTTTAAAGGCAAACGGGACGAATCGAACACCATCACCAAGATAAAACTTATTCTGGAACTCGACCCAATGAAGTCTTAAAGTGTGTAAGAATGCAGAGAGCGACTCCATCCCTATGAGAATGCCCAACGTGATCATCGCAAACACCGCAAACCCAAAGAAGGTTGTAATACAATTGTTCAGGCCAAGTAACAGATAAAAGACGTACTCCAAAAACACGGCAGAGAGTTGTGCATGTGCAAGAGACAAAGCCCAAAGTCTTAAGTATGATGCGGTGTTAGAAATACACCCCAAAACAAACTCAATTGCATGAATTGTGTTGAAAATGAAAATCTCAAGAATGGTGTTTCCTTCTTCGTCGTCAGGATCGTCTTTGACTCTGATCCACTCTTTCTCATCAAAATGATACGTCGCGTCCTTTCTGAACCAAACGTCTTTCAATCGACTTGACTGGATACGTGGCGCTTTAGGCTCGAAGAAGTCATCATTCACTTTATTCATGTCGTTCAGCTTTTGATCGCTCAGTAACGCGCTTTGCTCGATTTGATTATCCATTTCGAAATTTTGAGTCTTTTCCAAATATGGGATGTCTTCGGGCTTATCAAATGCATTCTCCACTATAAAGTCGTTGTTTTCAGGCTTAAATTCTTGATAATAATCATCCTTATTTTCACCATTCTCCACTCGCATTCGGTCTTTCCTTTTCAAAAGGATGACAATGATAGGCTTTGGAATTAACATTAACAACACAGAGATGACTGTTAATACAAATAATATTGGTTGTATCCCACTCTGTCCCGCATACATGCGATTAGGTGGAGTGACTACGCCATAGTTCTGGAACATCTCCAAGAAGACGTTTGTGATCATTGGAGCATTCGGAATGAAATGGATCCATTTCACAAGTATTAAGAAACATAAATAGCCAAAGGTACATGTCATGAAAGTGATTTCTGGCATGAACCTAAAGACCACATCTAACAAGTTTTTGAAGTGAATGTGGTTGATCAATGAGATCCAAATACCAACAGTCATCTGCACTACACCGACTAATATCGCCAATTTCATTTTCAGTGAATTATAGAAGTATAACTCATTATTCGAACTCTTCCAAATGGGATCAACTCCAAACGGATACACATACCCACTTGAACTCTTCTCATAATATTGTTCGCCTTGTTTGTCCCATGCAGTTCCGAAGATGTCAAATGCAATACCAAAACACTCGTTATAAAGCAGTCCAACATAAATTGAAAACATCCCCATCGCTAAGAGCATCCACCTCGCATCAAACAACATCAACACGATTTCGTTGAGTTCCATACTCTTTAACTTTCGTTGGAAAACAATGAGTGCTAATGCAAAGAGTGTCACTATGATACCATGACCAACATCTCCAAACATGATCCCAAAGAGCCATGGAAATGTGACCAAATAAAGAAACCCAGGATTCACTTCTCCATATTTTGGAATACTATACGACTCACACAAATCTTGTGCAGACTGAGAATATTGTGACGTTTCTATAAACGTTGGTGGAACTATCCCAGGCCCAGGTTGAATGACTCCAAAAAGTGGTTTAATAGGGCCTGAAACCTCTTCGAGAGCACTTGTGATAGTTGAAAATTGGTCAGTGGGGAACCACCCCTCTCCGCACAAATGGGAATGTCCTGCGTCGACGTGGAACATATTTAAAGTGAAGTAGACATCGCGTTCTCTAGCAATTGTACTCTTCCACATATTAATATTATCTGCTATAATTTTCAAGCACTGTCTTTTGGTTTCCAAAGCTCCAGTGAAGATGTCTGACATCTCTGAAAGTTCCTTTTCTCTCTCGATGAAGAATTGTGTTCTTTCTGATGTTTCTATTGGGATTTTGTCAAACATTCGAACCGTGGCCATTGAACAGACCATATGTAATTTGGCTAATACTTCATCGCCTTGAACAAATATGGCAAATACGGTTCTTCCAGTGTCTAACCCCGTCGACCGAACTATTGCAAATCCTCGTGAGACTCTCCATATTAAAAGTCGTAACGTTTCCCATCGATTGGCATCACATACACCAACTACATATTTCAATGTATCTGCTATCATTAAGTCTTTCATCTCACCTAACATATCCCCGATCACTTCAGTCACTTTAATCGACTCTTTAACAGTGTCTATCGCGCGTTCAGCAGTCGCTACATCAGAAGTCATTTGTTTCAATTCATTTTCTTGTCGCGTGAGTTCGAGAACTAATTGTTCCGACGACAATGTTTCATTCTCTTGTTGTCCAATAAACAAAGACTTCTCTTCAAGTAGTTTGGTTCGTTTAAAAAGTTTATTAAATCCCGGGCGGTCTTCCTCAAAGTGCAATGTCTCTTCAAAGACTCGAAGGATCCGTTCAATTTCTTCACATCGTTTAATTTCGTTGACAAACCTTCGATCAAAGCTTAACGTGTTATCGTTCAAGTCGTAAAATTGAATCAACCCAAGACGGCCTAAACGCTCAGCAGTCTCTATACATATCGTCGTCGGGACTATGATTTGCCCAAGCGACATTTCTCGGCCTCGAAACATCTCCCCCATTCCTCTCCTCTTTGCTTTTAAAATTTTTGAAGTTCAAAAACCGACACACATTCGTCATTTAAGGACTTGACTTGCTCTCTCCTCTTTCAACTCGTTTGTATTACTAACTTTTTATAACTATTTTACTATATTTTTACTATTGTGAAACTCCATTTTTAATTCACATATTTTCAGTTCATTTGATAAGTTTGATATACTTATGAGGAACTTTGTAGTCTTCATTTCCTGAATTATTAAATAAAATTTGTTTATAGAATTACATTAATTAATGACAGATTGATTTTTTAATAGATTCAAAAACTAAAATTGAAACCATTGAATAGTTTCTGTTACAATACGATATTATAACTATTATATATTAATATTAATAATATATATAATAAAAAAAAGAAGAACAACTAGTATTTGAGAGATGTGACATTCAGTAGTAAAAAGAACCAAAAGCTAAGCCTCTTTCAAATCAAAAAAAACCAAATAAATAAGAAAAGTCAATTTCTTGATGTCTTTAAATCTCAAGGTGATTGATAGACTCATACCCATAGTAATATTCCTTTCCAAAGACAATTTGTTCACAGCCAACTTTGTCGAAGGTTTCAGTTATGAACGCTATCATGTCTTCACCTATTCTTACAATATCTCTGTCGCATACACACACCCCCCACTTCTCAGACCATAACTCACTGAATTTAACAAGTTGAACAGTCTCGATACTTTCTTTGGACTTCCGCTCTTTATACGCAAAGTTGTCTTCACAGAGGAGTTTAAGTAAGTAATTACACGTGAGCGCAATTCGATTTCGTTGTGTGTACTTCATGACCTTTTGATGGGAATAGCCCGAAAGGCCTTCTTTCTTTGACTCGAGTTGTTTACATCTGTCCTCCAACTCCTTTTTGAAGTAAATCGTTTGTGTCTCGCGATGGAGCGACAAGATCGTCAAAAACGGAAGCGACTTCTTCGCGATCTTTGGCTTTTTTACTACAACTCGGTACCCACGCATTATCAGCAATCTTAACAACACACCTTGGATCTGCGATTCGTACGATTTGGACTTCCTCTTCGATAAAAAGAAAGGTTTTCTGTTGTGTAGGAGAGGGGGTTCGTCACTCTTTTCTTCGCGCTCCCCAGGCGGTTTAGCTTTGTCTTCACTGTTTGAACCTTCCATCTTGTTTGCTTCAAAATTGATTTCTTCAGTTCCTTTTTCGAGTTTTCTTTGATTTCACTTCCACTGCTCTTGGAAATTGTACGTTATAAACGTTTTGACTTCAATTTCTTATGGGTGTGTGTTTTACTATTATGTGGTAATACTTTTATTATACTTATTGGATTGTTTTATGACTCAAAGCTATTTTGAGACTTTGACATTTTCTTTTTTTTTTTTACAAACTTAAACTTAAATGAGTTTTTTACTATTCATAAATTATAAAATAAATATTCAGTATAATTCAGATCATTGAGTTTTATACAAAAATCCATTGAATTTAAAAGTTGAAAACTACAAACTGAAAGAAAGTAACTTAATAAATAGTTATAATTCTAGTATTTTTTTGTTTTGTATATATTTAAATAATTAATTATAGTAAATAAATTTAGTTTGTTTTTCAACAAATCAGTCAATTTGGAAAGATAAACAAAGAACCTTTACACATTTTATTTTTTTATTTTTTTCTAATTTATTTAATTAATATTAATTCTACTAATTAAATTACTTTTCTAATTTAATATTTTTATTTTAAACTTATTGATAAACAAATAGATTAATTGTTATAAAAGGAAAATTAAATTATTATAATATACTTATTATAATAATTAAAATAAAATGAATGCAAAAGAATTAGATTTCAGTCTTTAAGACAATAATCCTATCGACTGTATAAGTTTGGAACATACCATTTAAACCATTAACGTCTGTCTCTTCTATGCCTTGATAAGCTGATTTCAAATTTCTGTTATAAGATTGGTTAGTGCCAGGAGTGGTGACACATATTCTTCCCAAATGGTTTCCGATATCAAGCCAAAATGTTCCATTTGAGTATATAAAGAATCCAGAACCATTTTGCGACGCTCTAAACATTTTTTGTTCTGTGTTTCTGCCATCTCTGAAAAGAACAAACAAATAATGGTCGACATCATAGTTTTCAGTATACCTTGTCGTGTCTGCTAAGTTAACAATTGGCCGTTTAGCAAAACCACCAAAAACATTTCCAAACGTGTCGTTAAGAATCACAAATACATTTTCCTTGTGCATCACCGCCTTCACAAAAGAATTGAGTGTGCAGTCAGTCTTTGAGTCGTATATTCTTTCATATGTCTTAAAAGGAGTCCATTCTTGAAGTTTAGGGATATTGTCTGCAACAACTTTATCGAAATCAATGGCGATGGGGTTGTTTGAGTGTTGTGGTGGATTTTGTTGGTTAGCTTGGGAGTCTTGTTGGATTATAGTGCTCATATAGTATTGAAGAAAATCATTGATTTGTTTTTGTGAATAAGCCATTTGATATATTAAGATAACAAACAATTTCGTAAATTGTAATGTTTTAATGTTGATGTTTTTGATTATAAACATCATTAATTTTTTTTATTAAAAATCATTGGTGATTTTTTTTTCAGTTTCATCAATGTTGAAATCATTTACTATAATTGTTATAATGTATTAGATTAAGATACCACGAGAATTCAAATTGTGTGCATTTTTTTAATATCAATGTTTATTATATTTATTAGTTTTTTTATTATTAATTATATTTTATGATTTGTAAATAATAAATAGAGTTGGTGGAAAAAAGTCCAGCTTGGTAAAAATAACAATATTTTATTGTAAACAACCATTCATTATTAGTTTCTATTTTTTTTTTTTTCGG